GTATTTTGATGATAATTATTTCCATCAACACCATGTAACCAAGGAAATAATATATGATTTGGTAAAGGAGTTGAATAATAAGTTTCATGAATAAGATAATATTGAGCTGCTGTTAAAGCTCTAATAGGTGGATTTTCACAAATAAGAGGAAAAGTATCTAAACCTGTCATTGGTGAAGAAGGTGATGGTGATGGTGATTGAGAGTGTGTTGGAGTTCTTGATGATGTAGAAGTTGTAGATGGCGAACTTATAGTAGCAGGTGAAGAAGGTATTGAGGATGGTAATATTTGTGGTGAAGAAAAGGGTCCAATGTGTTGTTCAACTTCAGTCATATTGTTGAGTTTCTATATTCTTGTAATGAATTTTTTTTTTTGCAAGTTCGTTATCGAAAACACTAAATAATAAAATATAATTCTCTTAATTTATGATATATGTAATTTGAAGAATTTATTATAATTTGTTATAAATGTTTTATTAATAATATTTTAATTCTTTTGTTCGTTTTCTATTTCATTCGCTCGTTCGTCCGTCCGTCCGTTCGTTTGTTCGTTTATTTCAATTGTTTTAAATAAAGTTTTCGAATACAATACTTTATGGAACCAACCAAAATGTAAATATTTATACTAAAGAAATAAAAAGAGTTTAGGTTCGCACTACGACTTTTTCAGAAAAATGGGAAAAAAAACGGATGTTGATGTGGTAGAAAGGGTTTACCAAAAAAAAAAATTCATGTATAACATGACCGACCCTCGTGAGCACTTATTTTTATAAGAGTTCCTATATAATACATACAATGTAATATATACAATGTAGAATATAATGTGATGTACAGAACAGATATAGAATATGCATGAAAACATGTGATGTGTTCTATTTAATTCCATTTGTTCCATTTGTTCCTTTTAATTCTGTCGAGTTTTTTTTTAATGATAAATAATGCATATCTAATTTTTTCCCTTTTTAGTATTGCATTTGAATGTATAGATGCAAAGAAAATAACAATGATAATTATTTATTTTAATTTAATTATTTTATTTTAATTTAATTATTTTATTTTAATTTCAAATTTGAAATGAATTCATTCTTCCAAAATATAAAATATAAAAAATGGGGTATTATAATATTTATAATATACAAATATAAAAAAATTAATTGCTGATCCTAATACCATTTGTCGATCATTTATAACAAAATTCGGGGGTAAATTTATATATAGCTTTGTCATCTGACGCGCGCGTATTAGGTAAGTATATTTTTATAATACTTTTGATGTAAACTATATTAAATAACTTAACCCCAATTTTCTATATGTAAATAGTGCTTGAACCAAATGACATATAAAATGATATATAAAAAATAAACAAATATGCATTAATTTAAAAATATAAACCCTAATATACATTTTTTACCTAATCTAGAAAACATTCATCCGTCTAGCGAAAATATATCCAGATATTACAAATAACACAAATGATACGCTAATAACGTTAATAATAATAATAATAATAATAATAATAATAGAAATGAAAGTAAATTTTATTAGCAAAATCATTAATAAATACATTATGTATAAGAAATAATAATAATAATAATAATAATAATAATAATAATAACTTACCAAATGCCAATAAAATATTTATAATCTTCATCATCTTGACCAGGTACATGAACATTCATACCAAATAAACCTACAAAATGTAATATATATATAAAAACAATATACTGTTAAAGTATTTTAGAATGATAATAAAAATTACTTATAAATATAAATAAATGATTACCCGTGACAACATTTAATGGAAGTAAAATAGAAGCAAACATTGTTAATTTATTTATGATATCATTAGTTTGATTGCTTAATTGTGTAATCTCTACTGATATTTGTGCAAGATAATTAGAGTGTGCACGCGATAATATTTTCTCATAGTGATTAAGATTCTGCAACATCGTAATTATATGATCTGTAAATTTAAGTTAAATTTCAATGTATAAAATTTATAAATTAAACGTATAAGTTAATGAAATTTATGTTAAATTGTTTTTTAAATTAAATGAATAAATTACCTTGGATATCTCCTAAATAAAGATTCACGTCACCTGGACCACTTTTTTCACAACCAGTAACCACCAATCTTTCTTCACTTCGTTTAATTAATGCTTTTATCACATCAGCTTTGGGTTGTAACATTCTTAATAATGACACTACCATTTTACGACATAATCCTATTCTCACTAACATATCTTGTTGTTCGGATTTTTTAAGATCGATTGCATCGGATTCAAATTCTACCTTACGAATTAATGGTGCAAATGAATCTGTAATTTCATCAATTATAGCATAATTGATCCAATCTAAATAATATATATAAAAGAAACGTGTTGAATAAAATATTTCAAATATTTCATTATATTATTTTCATTTTTATCTAATATGATTAGTAAAGAAAAATTTCGTGATTTTATATATAATTTCATTTTACCTGGTGTGACTGTTATAAAATCTTTTAATTGTCGTATTCTGTTTCGAACGTTAAGTTGATGTGGTGTTTGTTGAAAATGAAACTAAATAGTAAATAAAATAATAAATAAAGTAATGAATAAATAAAATAGTGAATAAAGTTATGAATAAAAATATTCAAATAACT